ATCTGAAGGCCTCGCTGGAAGGCTCTCTGAGCCTCTCTTGGAGGCGTCTTGGGGCCCCTGAGGGCAGAGTCTGCCTGTGGGTGCTCGTTGGGTCGTGCTTGGATGGTATCGGGTTGTCGTATGAGCGTTTTTTCTTAGTCTGGTTTTGCCTGGGAGTTCCTATTTGCTTTTTCTCCTATCAATGCTTGCACTGAAGGGGTCCTCGCGGAAGTTGAAAGATTTGGCGAAAGTGTCCCGCCGATTTTGGTCGCACGTTGGGTTCCCAGGTTCCCAGTTCCCGGTTCCCGGGTTCCTGGTCATTTGTTCCGGGCCGATGGTTATTGGTTCCGCGCCGACTTCGGCGGGTTCGGGGTTCCCGGGTTCCCGGTCCCTTGTCGATCTCCTCCTCGATCTTTTTGCAAACCCCACGATTCATTATCGAATTTACGATCGATCTCACCAACGATCTCATTGTCGATCTCACGATTACTCTCACTATCGGTTTTATTATTACACCGGGTCCCACCATTCATTATCGATAACATGATCGACCTTACTATGCATCTCACTCAATCGATCAAACCATGGATCTCGTCATCGATTTAACCATCGATCCGATTGTCGATATCTTTATCAATCTTATTCCATCGATCTCATCATCGATATCATTCTCGATATTACGATCGATGCCACTATCGATATCATGATCGATGTCATTGTGGATCTCACTCAATCGACCTAAGTGTCGGTCTCATTCTTGATCTCAATATCGACAGATCGTCCCCATGATCTATCTCACAATCGATCCTATCATCGATCTTGCGATCGAACTTAGTATCGATCACACTACCGATCTCACTGCCGATATCATTACGGATCTCACTTACTCGACCTAAGTATCGGTCCCACTATCGATCTTAATATCGACATTTCGTCCCCATTATCGATCTCACAATCGATCCTATGATTGATCTCTCGATCGAACTTAGTATCGATCACACTACCGATCCCGATCTCATTGCCGATTTCATTACGGATCTCATTCAACCGACCTAAGTATCAGTCTCAATATCGATCTCAATATCGACTGCTCGTCCCCACTATCGATCTCACAATCAATGTCACGACCTACGTATCGGTCTTACTATCGATCTCAATTTCGACAGATCGTCCCCACTATCGATCTCACAATCGATCCCGTGATCGATCTTGCCATCGACCTCATGATCGTTTTTTTTACCGACCTCCACTATCGATCTCGCAATCGGTCCCATGATCGATCTCGCGATTCGACTTTACTATCCATCTCAATACCGATTTCACTGCCGATTGCATTACGGATCTCACTCAATCGACCTAAGTATCGGCATCAATATCCATGTCATTATCGACAGAGCGTTCCTTTTTATCGATCTCACAGTCGATGCCACGACCTAAGTATCGGTCTCACCATCGATCTCCATATCGACAGATCGTCCGCAGTATCGATCTCACAATCGATCCCATCATCGATCTCGCGATCTAACTTACTATCGATCTCACTACCGATGCCACTGCCGATTTCATTACGGATCTCACGTAATCGACCGAAGTATCGGTCCCAATATCGATGACAATATCGACAGATTGTCCCCACTATCGATCTCACAATCGATCCCGTGGTCGATCTTGCCATCGAACTTAGTATCGATCACACTACCGATCTCACTGCCGATATCATTACGGATCTCACTCAATCGACCTAAGTATCGGCATCCATATCCATGTCATTATCGACAGAGCGTTCCTTTTTATCGATCTCACAGTCGATGCCACGACCTCAGTATCGGTCTCACCATCGATCTCAATATCGACAGATCGTCCGCAGTATCGATCTCACAATCGATCCCATCATCGATCTCGCGATCTAACTTACTATCGATCTCACTACCGATATCACTGCCGATTTCATTACGGATCTCACGTAATCGACCCAAGTATCGGTCCCAATATCGATGACAATATCGACAGATTGTCCCCACTATCGATCTCACAATCGATCCCATGACCGATCTCGCGATCGAATTTACGATCGATCTCACTACCGATCTCACTGCCGATTTCGGTACGGATCTCACGTAATCGACCTAAGTGTCGGCCCCATTATCGATCCCAATATCGGTGGATCGTCCTTACGATCGATCTCAATTTCGACCCCGTGATCGACCTCGCGATCGAATTTATTAGCGATCTCACTACCGATCTCCACTATCGATCTCACAATCGATCTCATGATCGATCTCGCGATCGAATTTACTATCGATCTCACTGCCTATCTCACTGCCGATTTCATTACAGATCTCACTCAATCGACCTAAGTATCGGTCTCAATATCGATGTCAATATCGACAGGTCGTCCCCATTATCGATCTCACAATCGATGCCACGACCTAAGTATCGGTCTCACCATCGATTTCAATATCGACATATCGTCCCCACTATCGAACTCACAATCGATCCCATCATCGATCTCGCGATCTAACGTACTATCGATCTCACTACCGATCTCACAGTCGATTTCATTACGGAATTCACTTACTCGACCTAGGTACCGGTCTCAATATCGATCTCTGTATCGACAGATCGCCCCCACTATCGATTTCACAATCGATCCCACGACCTAAGTATCGGTCCCACTATCGATCTCAATATCGGCATTTCGTCCCCATTATCGTTCGCACAATCGATCCCATGATCGATCTCGCGACCGAGCTTATCACACTACCGATCTCACTGCCGACTTCATTACGGATCTCACTCAATCGACCTACGTATCGGTCTCGCTATCGTTCAGGCGGAGATGGTATATTATCTTGCGCCGTTTCGAACAGACAGATCCCCGAAAAGACAAGACTTATTCAACCCCCTTCGAAACTTCAACGCCTGCCCAATCTTCAGTCCATCCACTGATTGGGATTTTTCTTTGGTATAAAATTAAGAACCAGTGGTTGCGGCCACGAGTTGGCGCAGACCTTCCCCCGAATTCGTTGGCTAAGTTTCCTTACAAGGCCTTGCCTGGGTTCCTTGGTCTTGTTTCTTTGGCCTTGAGCCCTTGGCTCCTTGCTGTTGGTTCCTTGGTCCCTTGGTCTTTGATCTTTGGTATTTGTTCCATAGTTTTTTGGCCTCGGCTCCTTGGTTTTGGCTCCTCGGTCCTGGTTCCTCGGATCCTTAGTCCTGGCTCCTGGGTTCCTTGGTTTTGGTTCCTTGGTTTCGTTGTATTGGTTATTCGATTCCCTTGTAGTGGCCCTCGGTTCCTTGGTCTTGGTGTCTTTATCTTGGTTCCCAGGGCATCGTGCTGTCGTCCCTTATGGCATCGCGTTGTTTTCGCTCGTCGTGGTCTGCTCGGTCGCGTTTGCGTGGGAAGCCCGATGGGCCGATTTCCCACCACCACTACCATAGGAGGAGGAAGAGGAGGTGGAGAAGGAGGAGGAGGACCTAACAATCCTCCCCTCTCCCCCGTCCTATCTTTGGTAGTGGTGGTGGAAAATTGGCCCATCAAAGGTTTCTCCTCATTGGAGTCGCGCTGGGCTCAGAGGATGGTATTTGGCTGCCTGGTAGCCGAAACATGAGTTCCGCAGGGTGTCATGGTGCGCTCCTGGGGCCGCCTTGGTCGCTCCTGCGCTCTCTCCGAGGCCTTCCCGAAGCGATCTATAGCTGAAGAGGCTCGGACACATGCCCTGGGTGTCTCTCGGCGGCTTCTCGGAGCTTGCTTCCAGAGGAGGAAAGGTACCCGATGCCACTACCCCTCCGTCGCTCTCGCCCTTTTGGGGGTCTCCTGGGAGGCCCTCGTCGGCACGGCTGGATTTGCTCCAAAATCTTTGTTGGAATGTGCCCCGGGAGAGGTCCAAGGAGCAGCGGTATCGGTACCTGTTGGTTTCTCCATATTGGAGCATCTGGGGAAGGTCTGGGAGTCTTTCGAGGGGGGGATCGTCGGGCCGTCTTTGGATGGTCGTGCGCGGCGCCTTGCTGTTTATGGGGCGATCTCTTCTGGTGGCCCTGGAGCCGCGAGCCGCCCGATGGGGCGAGAGGAGGGCGACGGAGAGCAACGCCCTGAGGGCGAAGTTCGGAACCCGCGCGCTAAGAGGTGTAGGGTCGGCGCCCTGGGAGCACTGGGAGTGCGGGGCGGGAAACTGACCACAGCCACTGCCTCTTGTTTGCGCCGCCTTCCAGCCGGCCGAAAAAGAAGCAGTGGCTGTGGTCATTTCCCTGGTGCCAAGCTCAACGAAAATGACCACAGCCACTGCTTTGTTGCTGCGAGCTGGAAGGCGGCATCAAAAGAAAAGCAGTGGCTGTGGTCGTTTTCACGCCCCGTAGGGAGCATGGGGGGGGCCCCTGGAAGCTCCCGTGGAGCCGTCGGAGCACCCGGGGAGCCCCCAGGGGAGCTCCTGGGGAGCATGTGGGAGCGCCATGGAGAGCTCTGCGAGCTCCTGGGAGCACGTGGGAGCACGCGGAACTCTCCAGAGAGCACCTGGGCCTGGCATCGCTCGGACGTGTGCATTTTTTCTTCGGCGAGGACAAAAATCGAGGAGCAGCCTTGATCATTTGGCGAAAAAACCACGCACGAAACCGAAACAAACACAGGAAATGGACGTCCGAGCGATGGCCAGTGGGAGCACCAGAGGAACCCTTGGGAGCTTCTCGGATGGAGGGGAGAAGAACCCCTCACCCGAATTACACGTGGAAGACGTAGCCTCGCTGAGGTCCCCGCTTGTCGTATGAGAGATAATACCTCTGGATGGTCTGGCTTGATACATTTGTAGAATAGGCCCCTTTCCTCCTAATGTTCCTGTCCATCCTAAGTGAGGTTCTCCTCCCGAGGGTTAGGGGTCCTTTTATGCCTTATCATCTTGGATCGAGATACCCGGTATCTACCCCATACCACCTCGGAAACATTACATGCCTCCGGCTCGACAGCAGCATAACAGTCTACCGCACCACGCCGTGCCGCTGGCAGGGTGGCTCATACCCGTCTTCGCGGCCTCATGCTCGGCGACGGGCCCTCGAGCCCAAACTACGGCCTTGGGTTCGTCCTGACGTGCGTTGCTGGGTTCGCCACTGTGCTGGGAGTCGGGTTCGTACCCCTCTTGAGCTACGGGGCGCCGAGGACCGTGACCTCTGCCGCGCTGGGCTTCGCTGCCGGCGTCATGCTGTACGTGTCCTTCGTGGACGTCCTCGGGGAGGAGGCGAAGGAGTTTTTTGAGGACCACTTCAAGGGTGGTGGTGGGTCAGATGAAACTGAAGATGGTGAAAACGTAATGGTGAGAATCTCAGTGGCAGTCTTTTTCTTTCTCGGTATTGGATTGGCGATGGTGTTGGACAAGATTCAACAGGCTGGCGCCACATCCGTTGAGGGCACATGTTGACAGATTTAGGAGCAAATCGCGCAATAACTAAGAGCAGCCGAACTATTTGATGTCGTTGTATGGTCTTCTAGCCCGTCTGCGGTGTGAGGAAATGTCTAGCGCCCTTGTGCACTTTCTTCGGGACGCATTGGCCCATTTTGTTTGTGGTATTTGAGATCTCCTCGGAGCATCCTGGGCCCCTCCCATGCTGTTCTCCGTCTGGTGGCGTCCTTGTTGTTGCGGAGAGGTGGAAGAGGAGGACAGGGAGAAGATATCGTAGTAACCGGTAGGATGATGATGATGGACAAGATGGCGTGCTTAAGAGTCGGGAGGTGGCTTGTACCATGATGAGTGAGGATACGGAAGCCAGATCATATCAAAACCAATTGGTTAGAAAGCGAATGACGAAGGAACCCAGCGAACAACAATGCATGATCACGAACCGACGCGTTTGGCAACTAACGGTCACTCAAGTTATTGTATGCCATGGTGTGCCGCCAGAAGAGTAACATTTCCTTGACGTCTTCTGAGGCTGGAAAGCATGGAAGTTGAAGAAGTTGTGGTTGATAATTGTGATTTTGCTGTTGGGCCGTCTTGGAGCATCACTTGGAAATAACCCACATGCCCTGCGCAGTCTCCACGTGCAGTCTCCGGGAATATGTTGCGCTTCCTTGGAGGAGGCCTCTCGGACCGTGCTCGCTACGTTCTCGGGCCCTGGGCAAGTGGCCGCTCACATCCCCGCCCCGTGCACCGTACACCACGCCCCGCCTCCAGGGCTGTGGGGGGAGAAACATCTCTTGCGAATCCGTCCCCAGACGTGGTGGTGACAACACCTGATATCTCACCACCTGATATCCCAACATCTGGTTGGGGGGCTCCGGAATCTCATACGCCTTGTGGAGGTTGTTGCGGATAATGGACGCTTTCCACAGCCACGGCCATGGCCCAGAGAGTTCGCCTTCTCGGGATGTCGAGCTTTCAGGTGAGAGAGGCGAGAGGCCAAGTCCAAGTCCATTGACAGGAGGTTCCGAGGGGACGGGGCACGATCACCAAGTGCTTACCAGAGGACGCTCAAGGAGCCTGACATCGGATCAGAGCTCCTTGGAGCGAGTCTCCTTGGTGGCGTTCGTGGCGTTGACCTTGCATAACTTTCCGGAGGGGCTGGCGACGTTCTTTGGTGGTGGGAACAAGTCTTTCGCAGTGCCTTTCGCAATTGCCATGCACAACATCCCTGAGGGGGCCGCCATCGCGATCCCCATCTACCAGTCCTCTGGCAGCGTGATGAAAGCGGTGCGGAATACGTGTATTGCTGGTCTGGCGCAGCCCGCCGGTGCCTTGATGGGTTGGATCCTCATCCTTGGACTCGGAGTCGAAAACGTGTCGAACTTCGTATATGGCGCCTTGTATTCTGCCACCGCGGGAATCATGGTTTGCGTGTCGATCATGGAACTGATTCCCGAGGCGTTGCAGGGTGGGTCGCCATTCTTTGTTGGATGTTGCATATTCGGGGGCTTCCTGATCATGGAGGTGTCGATCATACTGCTAGGATTGTCAGGGTTATGAGCATGACCGCCCGCGCTTCCCTGGCACGTGCCACGATCTCCACCCTATCCGCCATCTCTGCAAACCTGTTCAAGCGATGCAGGTCTCTTGCGCGGCACATGCTGCTTGCTTGCCACAGCCTCCGTCCTTTGCCCATTATGTTGCCTCTATTCTCGTTCCAAACGTAACTACGTAGACCATTTTCAATGCGCGCGCTATGGACTTGAATTGTTATTCCTTTTCACAGACACAGTGGCGAATATTGATGCCAGCGGGTATTAGTTTACCATGGTCGGTCCCGTCTACTTAGCTGCTCGCAGGCGGCTTGTAATGTTCTAATGTGTGCATCCACTTTTATAAATGAGCCGGACACGGGCCGCCACGGTGCAAACTCACTTCACATTGTAACGGGCGGGTAGACCTCCTAGGGCGCAAGCGGTCGGGGGTCTGCCAATGCATGCACGCATAAGCCCCACATTTTGCGTGATTGTCATGATTTGGTACTTTGCCCTGGCGCTTTCTAGGCGCCTGCTTTCCCCATACTCCCATACTCCATCCTTATGGCTGATTTCGACCGTGCCCTCCGCCCGCCCGGCTACTCACCCCTCACACCGGGCCGTTCCATTGAGATGCGACGTCGCAAGTTAAATGCAACACAGCGAGCTATCACGACAGCCCCAGACACAACGTTTCTGCAGCATTCCTCAAGCCAGATCGTTTTGTGAGGGCTCCGAGGGCCCGAAGTTCGGCGAAACAACGCCCAGTGCGAAAACACATGCGAGGCCCAGGCCCCAGGGAACGCACGTCGGTCTCTTCTTTTCCCCCCTCTCGCCCAGCTACCTCCTCGGGGGCAACGTTCGGGGTAACGTTAGGGCCGCCGAATATCAGAGGTTCTCGCTCTATCTTCACCTGAGTTTCTTCCTCGTCTTGGCTTCGTCTTACATTCGGACCGAGGTATAATATCGAGGTTGGTTCGGAAAGGTGCCCTAGTGTTCTTCGTGCTTGTTGGATGTCTTTGTGCATCCTGGGGAGGGTACCCTTGGATGTTCTGCCTGGTTTGGCCGACCGAGGGTCCCATGTTCTGGTAGGGTGTTCCCTGCTCCCTGCTTCCCTGCCGGCCCCCTCTTCCTCCTGCTCCCTGCCTGCCGTCTCCGCCTGGCCCCTCCTCCGCCCGCCCGCCCGCCCCGCCGGCCCTGGCCTCCCGCCTGCGCGTCGTCCCCTTCTTTGGACGCCCGAAATGGGTACGGAAAGAATGGGCACAATGCCCAACAGCAGTTCCTGTTCACTTTGAACAGGGTTCGCTGTCCGCGCCGCGGCGGCCTGTGTCCATTCGAGACAGGAGGCCGCCTGCCCAACAGCGGCCGCTGTTGGTTTGGGACAACATTTGTTGTTGGGCATTGTACCCATTCTTTCCGTACCCATTTCGGGCGTCCAAACCTTCAGCCGGGCAGCACAGTCTGCCCGGGAACCGCGTGGCGGCGTGCAGGGCTCCAGCGAGGCTCCTCGCGACCCCGCAGCCGGGGCCCCGCGCGGGCCCCACCGGGCCGCGCAGGGCTCGTCCTGCGGGTCCGACGGTTCTCCTCGCCTCGCCCCTCCCGCCCGGCCCGCGGGGCGAGGCGCTGAAGAACAAGGTCCGGGAGAACGAGCGCATGTTTCACGCGGCCGCTCGCCCTCTTCGCAGGCCCAGAGGTTGACACCAGCACCAAGATCAGCGGTGTGCCTCCACCGAGGGAAGACGATCCCGATCTCGGCGATGGTGGTGATATTCTGGCTTCCAAAGTGCCCGAAATTCTGCCACCAACACCGAAATCTAGGATCATCTTCCCCATGTGGAGGCAACCCCCTGTGCTGGTGTTGGTCCCAATTTCCAGGCCTCCAACCTCTGCCTCGCCCGGCCCGGCTCGGGGGTCACTTCCGTGCCGCCGCCGCCGCCGCCGTCGTCGTCGTCGGCGTCGTCGTCGTCATCGTCGTCGTCGTCGTCGTCGTCGGCAACGTCGTCGATCGTCGGCGCCGTCGACGCCGTCGTCGTTGTCGTCGCCGCCGTCGTCGTCGTTGTCGTCGTAAGTTTGCATGCCAGTGGCTGGGACGATTGCGACGATCTACCTGTCCTTCCTCTGCTCTGGGCCTCCAAAGTGGGATCCGAGCAGATGTTGCGTGCAAGATTTGTACCCGTATCTACTGCGTGAGTGGAGGTGTGTGTTCCCTCCCCCAGAAACCAGAGGCGCAGGAGACATGGATCAAAATCTGGTTCCTAGACGGTAGATGTTGGCGCCAACTCCTGGAGAGTCCAAGACGAAGTGGATTTGGATATCAAGCTTGCACGCACACGGGATCGAGGGATCGCGTCGCATCGCCGGTTGATCGCCGACGCGGCTCGATGGTGAGCTCGATTCTCTCGTCGACATCTCCAATGCGCCGCATCGGCGATGCAACGGCTATGCAACGGCGATGCGGCGCGATCCTTCGACCAGATCTACTCGGACACCACTTGGGAGGCCTATATTTGTGGGCAGGGGATATCGGAGGAAGGACCCCACTCGTTCCTTGCCACTTCTGAGGTTTTCGAGGGATTCGGGATCGACTCACCCGCAGCTAGTTGATTTATTTTCGGTATGGCGACTTGGCTGGTGACCAGCGACCACGGCGGGGCCGATCCATCATGCCGCCCAGTTCGTTGCCGCGATGTTCGGACAGGATCGTTTCGAGATCACTGGGACCGCCCTCGAGACACCCTCTCCCACTTCACTTACCGACCTCAGCCTTCTCCGCGGTCATCCCAAAGATCACCCCTAAAGTCGGAGACGATCTGCACGTTCTGCTCCGACGCCTGATGGCGGCCGATCGGCGCGACGCTTGGGACCCACCGATGCTGGCCGGACCTTCTCATGACCCGTCGACCAGCGATCGGTTCCAACAGTGTGACATGCGGGAGCCGCGTTCCACCTTCGCGGCCAAGGAATGGATTGTTTCCGAAACCCTCCGACGAGGAAACGGTGTTCGTGTGTCAAGAAATACAGTGCCAAACAGTTGCCGACCCTTCGCCAGCTCTCGACTCAGCAATTTTAGTCCTAGGCCTTAGACCCCAGGACAAGGATGACCCCCAGTCTGCCACCGTCGACAATAAGAGAAGTGCTTGATGTGGGCCACTGTCTTTCCGAACCTAGACCACAACGTTCGACATCACCGACGATCGTGGCTTCAGGGCCGGTGCATTCCATGTCGGAGACTCGCCATAAATTCGGGTGTTGTTAGAAGTGCCCCTGGCCCAAGGTGCCCCAAGTTTTTTGCTCAATTTTGGAGCCCCTGGGGCCCTCTGGACCTCATGAGGGGTGCTCTGGAGGCCGTGGGGGCCTCCTTGGCAATCCTGGGGGCACCTTTGGCCAGGGGCACTTCTGGCAGCACCCGAGAAATGCACCTACGCCCCGGGTTTCGGACAGTGTGCGCATATGCGGGCGCATCTCAGAAAACCATCCGCCCCGTGACGAGTGCCACGGCCCCATAGGCGCTCCGAACGCTCGGAGGCCTAGAGGTTAACGCCAGCTCCAGTATCGGTGGTGGTGTGCCTCCACCGAGGGAAGCTGATCCCGATCTCGGCGATGTTGGTCAGATTCAGGCTTCCTAGGTGGCCGAATGAGTGCCACCACCACCAAACTCCAGGATCTTCCTCCCCCGGTGTGACCGCAACCCCCCTGTGCTGGTGTCGGCGTCCATGCGCAAGCCTCCAAAGCGCACCTCGTTCGCCGTATGTCTCCGTCGCCGTCTGCTGTGGTTTTGATTGGTGGGATGGGGAGGGGCAGCGTCGCGGTTTCTCACAGGGCTGGTTTTTGTTGTTCCAGCAGTGTGCGCCTATATACGCTGCGGATCGCACTCCGAGTCTTCTGATCAAGTCTCCATGTCACGGGTAGTCGCAGTCTTGCGTACCTTGTGCGTGGACGTTGGCGCCACGCGAGTAAGAATTATATTGGCGATGGACCCAACCATGTGCACCTGTGAGTGCCGCAGTTGTGAGGATCGTCTTCGGGGGTCCTCCCTTTGGGGCCACAAAACGTGTTAGGGACGTGCCGATTTGGGGGGGTGCATGTGAACCCTCCCACTGGGACCTTTGGTGGAGCTCCTTACGGGGCCACGAAACATGTGAGGGGTGCGCCGAAATGGGCGTGACGCCCCCATGCGAACTGCAGCACTGGGACCATCAGTGAAGCTCCCCATGGGGCCACGAGACAAGTGAGGGGTGTGCCGAAACGGGCGTGACGCTCACATTCGAACTACAGCACTGGGACCTTCGGTGGAGCCCCCTTATGGGGCCACAAAACGTCTGAGGGGTGTGCCGAAACGGGCGTGACGCCCACATGCGAACTGCAGCATTTGGGCCTTCGGTGGAGTCCCCTACGGGGCCACGAAACGTGTGAGCGGTGTGCCGAAGCGGGCGTGACGCCCACATGCGAACTGCAGCATTAGGACCTTCGGTGGAGCTCGCCATGTGGCCACGAGGCGTGTGAGGGGTGTGTCGAAACGGGCGTGATGCCCACATGCGAACTTTAGCCTTGGGACCTTCGGTGTAGCTCCCAATGGGGCAACGGAACGTGTGAGCGTTGTGCCGAAACGGGCGTGACTCCCACATTCTAATTGCAGCATTGGGACCTTCGGTGGAGCTCCCTATGGGGCCACGAGACGTGTGAGGGGGTGTGCCGAAACGGGCGTGACGCCCACATGCGAACTGCGCCACGGAGGCCCTCGGTGGAGCCCCCTGAAGGGTGTGCCGACACGGGAGTGATCCCACATGCGAACTGCGCCGCGGAGGCCTGAGATGGAATTCCTTGTGGGGCCGCGAAGCGCGTGAGCGATGTGCCGAAGCGGGCGTGTCGGGACCGCCGAACAGGGGTAAACCCGTCCTTCTCCTCTCCTCCTCTTCCTCCTCCTCCTCCTCCTCCTCCTCCTCCTCCTCCTCCTTCTCCTCCTCCTCCTCCTCCTCCTCCTCCCCCGGGCGCGCGCGAGGCCCCGAGCGCTGGCGGGCGCCTTGG